TTCAAGATCCCCAATGAGAGCACGAGTCAAAAAATTAAGATCGTGTTCGCGCAGCAGTCGGGCTGCATTGGTGCACATCTCTATGAGATCTCAGAAGACTCAGAACAGTTGAGGGATGAGTGACCAGGGTTTAGGGTTTAGGGGCAAGGGTTTCGGGTTTAGGGCTTAAGGTTTAGGGCTTAAGGTGTTCAGGGCGTAGAGTTTAGGGGAACCAACCCCAGCGACACCCAGCTGAGCCAGGCGCCTTCTTCATGCCTCAATAGAGCAAGGGGTTTGGGGGCTCAGGGCTTTTGGGGGGCTCAGGGCTTGGGTGAAAACATGTCAAGAGGCATGCATTGGATTTTGACAAGTCCCCGAACGCCGAACACGACCCCGCGAACCCCCACTACACATGCGCTCAAAATAACTCCAGACCTAGCCGTACCACCTTTATGAAATTGCGCTCCACAACCCCAAACCCCCAAATCCCAAACCCCTGAAGATTCGTGAGGCCCAGGTGCTATCGTCGTTCAGCGGCCAGACGTGGAAGCCCGTAGCAGCCTCCGGCTCCGTGTACCAGCCTGCAAAACAGGTTTAGGGCTCAGCGTTTCGGGCTTAGTGCTTGCTGTGATATCGCACAGGAGCTGTGAAGATCTTAGTAGCCCAGTAACCATAGCCCAGCAACCATACTAGTCTCAGGCACCCTTTTTTTGGTTACTTTCATAGGGGAAACCAGAACCAAAAAAAGAGGAAAGGGCACCACTGGGCTACCAAGAGATAAGAGTACAGACTAGCCTCGAGTGCTTCGTACTATGCCGCGGGCAGTTCTGGCATTAAACCCTAAACCCTCAACCCCAAACCCTAAACCCTAAACCCTAAACCCTAAACCCATGTAGGGGGCCATCATACATCAGCTGCCGCCCCACGCCGTGTGGGGCGGCCAACCGCCCTGACCTATTCCCTTTGGAGTTTGAGCCTAAGATCAGCTGAATGGTAAGCCCTTTTCAAGACCGGTCTGGGTCCCCAAATCCGCAAAAATAAATCTCCAGATCCTAAGCCCTGACCCTAACCCTAACCCCTGAAACCGGAACCCTGAACCCTAAACCCTAAACCCCAACACCCTAAAACCCTGAAACCCTAAAACCTTAAAACCCTAAAACCTTCAAACCCTACAACTTTCAAACCCCTCCCGCGAAATCCTAGGCACTTTCCGAGCCCCCCGGCTTTTCACCGAGTCTGTAAGACCCCCGGTGGCGTGGACGATGGGCAGCGTGGCATAGCGCATGGCGCCTTGGGGGCTTGAGGGGCTGTAGTGTCATGTGCTTATGCATGTACATTATTGTTATGAACAGCTTTTGTCTTGCATTTTGTTGTTGTTGTTTTTTTTCTGGGGGGGGGGTAGGGTATAGGCTTTGGGTTTTAGGAGCGCCAGCTTTAGAGTTCGGGGTTTTGAGGCTTTGGGATGTAGGGGTGTGAGGGACTAGTGAGCTGAGGGCTCGGGAAGCTTTGGGGTTTGGGACTTACGGCTTAGGGATAGCAAGTGCAGGACGACTGCAGCAGAGTTTAGGGTTGGGGTTTAGGGTCGCTTCTGGAAGCAAGAGCATGATGAGAGGAGGCTTTTGCTTTGGGGGGAGGGGGGTCCAAAACTCTATCGACACCTGATAGCTTAAGCAAGCCCGTAATTACGGCTAATGAAGGGCAAGCAAGCTTCACTCGCCAGGAACTGTGGTGTGTGTGGAGGGTTAACCCTAAACTTTTCAAAGCCCTAAGCCTCTACGCCCTGAACCTTGAACCCTCAACCCTAGACCTTGAACCCTGCCTAAAAACAAACCCCACAAACCCCACAAACCCATAAACCCATAAACGCATAAACCCATAAACCCATATACCCTAAACCCTAAACCCTAAACCCTAAACCCTAAACCCTAAACCCTAAACCCTAAACCCCCAAACCCCCAAACCCTAAACCCTAAACCCTACCCAACCCTATGGCAAGAGGGACTAGGACATCGGATGGGAGCCCAACACATCTGGGGAATGCCACACGGCTCGTACCTGCAGATGGCTTCAGGACGCGCAGAAGGGCAGGGATTAGGGTTTGCCCTAAACCCTAAACCCTTAAAACTGAACCCTAAACCCTAAACCCTAAACAGCAAACCCTAAACCCTAAACCACAAAACCCTTAGGGGCGGGGGGGCTTCGGGATGAAGAGCGCCACAAGAAACGCCCAACTCGCCCCCGCCCCCCCGCCAAAAAAAAAAGTGAATCGGCTGCCTCGCAGGACGGCCAGGTGAACGATCAACCGACAATGCCAGGGTTTAGGGTTTAGGGCGTAGGGCTTAGGGCTTAGGGCTTAGGGCTTAGGGTTTGAGGAACCCGACGAATTAAACATTTAAACATCCAAGCCCTGAACCTTAAGCCCCATAAACCCCAAACGCCAACCAGTCGGAGGCGTTGCAGGGGTAGATGAGCCCACCAGTATCGCCAGTGCCTGCCCACAACACCAGTATCGCCAGTGCCTGCCCACAACCCCTAACCCTAATCCCTTAGCCCCCGTGGCCCTACACCCCTAAGCCCTCAACCCTAGGCCCCTAAGCCCCTCAGACCCTAAGCCCCTAAGCCTAAACCCTAAACCCTAAACCCTGAACCCTAAACCCTAAGCCCGAAAGCCCCAAAGCCGGAAAGCCCCAAAGCCCCTAGGCTTGCCTGGATGGCATGAGGAAGAAGTCAGAACCTCCGGAGGCATCTTCAGGGTTCAGGGTTTAGGGTTCAGGGTTTAGGGTTTAGGGTTTAGGGTATAGGGTATAGGGTATAGGGTTTAGGGTTTAGGGTTTAGGGTTTAGGGTTTGGGGTTTGGGGTTTGGGGTTTGGGGTTTAGGGTTTAGGGTTAGGGTTTAGGGTTTAGGGTTCGGGTTGACGGTTTCGGGTTTAGGCTTTAGGCACTTTAGGCTTTAGGCTGTAGGCTTTAGGCTTTTATTAGGGCGGGAGTCTTGGGCTTACAGGGCTCTAGCGGGTTTCGGGAGTCGAGGGGCTCAGAAGACTCGGCGCGCAGATCCCTAAACCCTAAACAGGGAGGACGCAAGCCTGTGATGCACCAAAAGGGGGGGGGGGGGGGGCAGAATCTACTATGAGGGTCGGAAGAATTAAGATTTAGGGTTGAGGGTTGAGGGTTTAAGGTTTAGGGTTTAGGGTTTAGGGTTGCTACGAGTATTCGCGACCTTTGATCCCTCATCAATAAGTTCGAGCTGTCTTGATCAACTGCTCCCTCTCTTTGCTCTTCCGTCACGGGTGCCAGCGGCTGCACGGATGCTTCTGTGTCTCCTTGCCAAGACCAAGACCAGAAACATGCATTTCAGCATGTTCAGGTTTCGATTCACGTGGGTGTGAAGTTCGCGTCCGGGTGACCATCTGCCAAATCCACGGGAAAGACCAGCTATACTATGATGACATCGCCCCCCCCCCCCCCCCCCCCCCCCAACCCTATTCAAATTATTCAGGTCCCCTGTGTTAGAATACTGCCCCCATGAGAAGAGGCTTGGGTCGAACGGCAGGCTTAGGGATTGTGGCTTCTCAGGCTTACGGCGACGGTGACTTAGAGGTTCATGGTGCTTCGTAATCCAATTAGAACCCAGCTACAGTGGGGTACTTTAAGGGCTTATAAGTGGGTGATAACTACCCTTATAATTGGGTCATAAGTACCCTGAACCTCCAAGTAGGGCTGCAATAGGGCTTTCATGAAGGCTTCAGGGGCTTAGGGGGGCTTAGGGGGGCCTAGGGGGGTTCTGGGGAAGCGAACATGTGAGCCCCAAGGAAGTGCTAGGTCCTTCGCACCAAAGCTCCCAAAACTTGTGAGAACCAGGGGGCTGAGCTGCTGGTTCTGAAGCAGTTCAGGGAACCTATACACCCTAACAAGGGGAATCCAAGCCTCCTCTGGATCCTAGGTAGAGGCCCAGGTCAGGTCCCCTTCGTTCTACCTACGCTCGAAATCCCCCGGTCCGCCAAGACCCTAAACCCTTAAACCCAAAAACCCAAAAACCGTAAACCCTACACCCTAACCCCCAAACCCTAAACCCTAAACCCTCAACCCTCAACCCTCAACCCTAAACCCTAAACCCTAAACCCTGAACCGGCCGGCGATGATCTCCCTCTCGATGTGGGGGTTGAAGCCCCAATAGCCACAGATGCGGCCCTGGATTTCGGCTTGGGGTGTCGGTTCCGAAGGGAGGGGGCTTTCGGGTTTAGGGTTTAGGGTTTAAGGTTTAGGGTTTAGGGTTCAGGGTTTAGGGCTTAGGTCTCAGGGTTTAGAGTTTAGGGTAGGGAACCTTAGGGAAGATGAGGGAGCCTCAGGGAGTAGGTATTAGGGAACCTTGGGTGCCATACCCCCTAAACCCTAAACCCCAAACCCCAAACCCCAAACCCTAAACCCTAAACCCTAAACCCCATGAACCCCGTTCCCTTAAGAACCCGATAAGGTGGGGATGGTTTGTATAAGGAGTAAGGGTTTAGCGAGGTTTAGTGGGGTTTCGGGTTAGGGGTCCAGGATTTACTGATTTAGGGTTTGGGGTTTCTGGGGCAGCCACTGACCCACAAACAAGGACCCCAGCCAAAAACACGGGGAACGCGGGTTCTTGGACAGAGCACCAACAGCCCCCAGAAGCCCCAGAAACCCTGAAATCCAAATGCCCGGTTTAGTGTTTAGGGCTTACGGCCCTACAGCCCCATAAATCTACACCCATCAGCACCCACAGACGCAATGCGCTTGAGAGCGCAGGTCCATTTCTCGCGAGCCTTGTCGCTCTGGTGCATGCAGGTGCCATGAGAAATCAATGCTAAATTAGGGCTTGGGGTTCAGGGTTTAGGGTTTAGGGTTTAGAATTTAGGGTCCCAAAATGTATCTGGAACTTGACAGTGCGACATCGTTCCAGTGCCGCAAAACTGTACTGCAAGTGTGCCGGTTCAAGCTCCACCGCTTCTGCACATGAGGGCGCTTGACACCAGTAACGCGGCTGCTATAGCTCTGGTCAGTCGATGACCACCGTGTCCGAGTCTGAATCGTCGGCCTCGGCGGATGTTGCTTTTCCTGATGGAGACTGTCGGAACTGCCCGGTCTGGACCACAATGCCTCGGACGCGGAACTCGCTGCAAAAGAAGCCCTCGGTCACATGCAGCTTCAGCCACTTCACTCGTGGATGATGATGACACGCCACCACCTGACCTTCCGAAATGTCGCCATGTGCCCGAGAGTCTAAACACTGCTGCCACCCAGCTCCATCCTCGGAACAGAAGATCCTGAAGTGCACACCAGACTTTGGGAGGTTGCTGGTGAAGCAGAAGCCAATCAGGTACAGGGAGACAAAGGGCAACATCCAGACGATCCAGCCATCTTCGATCGGGAGGGCCCTCATGCCAGAGAAGTTGTGCGCGATGGCATAGAGGGACGGGTCATCGGCAGGCTTCTTCCCAGCAAGCTCAGTCAGAACGGTCACGTGAGACGCATGGCCAAAGGGGTGCGGGCCTTTCTGCCGCAAAGCGTACAAAGCATCGTTGGTTGCCTGCCGAAGATATCCTTGCACTTCACCCCTCGCATACTTGAGCAAGAGACGTTGGACGGACTCCTCTCCTGGCGTTGAGGCCATGGGCCACCCATAGATCAAGCTAAGAAGACCTTCGCCATCAATGCAAAGGGCCTGGGTTTCCAGAACTTCCTGCACAAGTCGGATACCCAGAGGCGGGCGAGCCTTCAAGACTTGTCTTGGCTTCGTGAGAATGGCGTGCAAAGCGCGGCTTTTCAGCTCTTGGTGATGAAAGCGGTCGGCGAGCTTGAAGATGCGGCAGGTCGTCGGGGGTTTCAGCTCCACGGACCCTGCGATCTTCTTGCAAAGCTCCTGCAAGGTGTTGATGGCATACTTGTCAGCTAAGAGCCGCACTTCCAGAATCAAAGCGATGTCTTCCGATATCTCCCCAAAATGCAAAAACCTCAAGAAGGCCTCAACTGCCGGTACCGAGAAGTCGCTGATGGTAACTTGGGACGCCGCGCCCTCCACGAAGTTCTCTTGGCTATTCATTGCCTTAAATACAGGGGATGCCCGGGAGAGCAGGATGGATGAAACTCTGAACTCCTTTCGCTTGGATGGTGCCAGCTTGGCAGTCTTGTCGGAAGATGACCTTTCCTCAACCACGATGACGAAATCACCACGGCCCCAGCTGTCACTGAGTACATTCTGCGCAAACTCCGCAAAGCAGGGATCCTTGACAGTCATCGAGCTCATTCGCACCAAAAAAAACGCTCTCCACTCGTGGAAGCAAGCCTTTGCCTTGACCGGTGCCTGAGCCTATATCTTCTGCGAAGGCAACTTCCATACAGGACTTTGAAATCCGGAAACTATTTGGTACTTAAGAGGTTCATGGGTACGTATAACAAGCACGGTCAGAAGCTTATTTCGGTCTCACCCTACTGTTCAGTACCCATGAACCCTCCAAAGTAGGGGTTTGGGACTCAAGATGGAAGCCGAAACATTCCACGGCTAAAGCCTTCACAGATTCGATCGGCTTTCAGCCCACAAGAATATCCAATCTTGAAAACCCACATGAGAAATCCCTGCGATGCTCTCCTAAGACAAACCCCGAAAATCGGGCCAAAACGACACAAAAGCCTCACAACAACCAAGCACACTTAGAAGCCAAATAGGCCCCGAAACCCCTAAACCCTAAACCTTAAACTCTAAACTCTAAACCCTAAACCCTAAAAACCCTAAACCCTAAACCCTGAACCCTAAACCCTAAACCCTAAACCCTAAACCCTAAACCCTGAACCAGGACGCCTTCCATGTCGACTCGGCCCATCGCAGCATGTGGCCTGACACCACTGGATTCTGTTGGCTTATGTGTTGTATTTAGGGTTTTGGGTTGGAGCACCTTTGGACAGAGAGATGCTAACCCTAAACCCAAACTTGGCCCTAAACCATAGAATTAAGCCTGGGAGCTTGAACGTTGAATCCGGAAACGGTTCAGGATTCAGAGCTTGGGGACACCTAGGTGGCTACAAACCCCGATCTTGGTTAGGGTTAAGGGCTTAGGGCTTAGGTTTCAGGGTTCCAAACCCTGAAAACGCGAAGCCCTCCAAACACTCAGGTTCCTTGCAACCAATCCGGACCTAGCTCCTCTTCACCATTGCCCATCATCACCAGCTGCACCTGAGATAGGCTTAGGGGTCTAGGGTTTAGGGGCTTAGGTAACACTGAAACTCTAAACCCCTTGTATAAAGGCCGACAGCTCTACAGTCCCAGGCTGACCTCAACCCCAAGGCTGAACAACCATGATGATCAGCGCTCCTTAACCCTCAACCCTAAACCCTAAACCCTGAACCCTAAACCCTAAACCCTAAACCCTGAACCCTAAACCCTAAACCCTAAACCGGGCTACCAAGGTTTAATTGAAAGAAGATATGGGGGGTTTACGAAAATCCGGATGCACCTAAAATAGGCCCCCGAATAGTAGGATTCCCTTATCACAAGGACCCCACATAGTAGGAACCCTACACCCTAAACCCTAAACCCTAAACCCAAGAAGGTACCCCTACTACCGGAAACCCCCCAGATCGGAGCCGAAGGGCGTTGTTCAGACCATCCTTATGATCCTCTCGCTTGGTTGATGCTGGAGGTTGTTTTAGGGTTTAGGGCTTAGGGTTTAGGGATTAGGGTTTAGGGTTTGGGGTTTAGTTTTTAGGGTTTAGGGCTTAGGGTTTAGGGTTTAGGGTTTGGGGTTTAGGGTTTAGGGTTTAGGGTTTAGGGTTTAGGGTTTAGGGTTTAGGGTTTAGGGTTTAGGGTTTACGGCTAGGGGCCGAGCGATTTGGGAGTTCAACTAAACCTAAACCCTAAACCCTAAACCGACTAAACTCCTGATGATAGTGGGTGCCTTTTTCTCTGGAAAGTCAGGGCCCTGTGCGACACCCAAGCCTACGCCTGCCGCAATGAACCAGCCCACCAGTTAAACACACGCGTTAAGAGCTTCGCGTTCAAGAACCTAGACCCACAACCCTAAACATCCTGATGCCCTAAAACCTTACCCGAAACCCTCAGACCCTTAGACCCTAAAACCAAAAGACAACCTTGAACCCCTAAAAATTGCAACCCCAAAGCAGCCCTAAAAACCCTGGGCCAGTTAAGCCAGGCATTAGTTGGCTCCTCCATGAGCCAGTGGACGCAAGCACCGATCAGGTCCAAACCTCGGGATTTAATGGTTGGAGTTTAGGGCTTAGGGTTTAAGGGTTTAAGGGTTTAAGGGGTTTAAGAGTGTTGGGGTTTGGGGGTTTTGGGGTTTAGGGTTTAGGCGTAGAGCTTTACTTGGAGGTTCATGACACTTATGAAACTTATAAATTGGGATATAAGTACCCTAAGTAAGGATATAACCATTGTTACCCTACTTACAACCCTAGTTTTAAGCAACCATGAACTTCGAAGTAGGGTTTCCGCTCCCCGATCAGGAGCACTCTACACCAAGAGATTGATTGTGTGGGATGGTGAGGCCCACTCTATTTAGACCCGAACTCTAGACCCGAACACAACCCCCATAGAAACGAGCCTTAATCTGAACACCCTGACACTCAACCCATGAAGGCCTAAACGGCCTAACCCCTACTCCTTCAACCCTGACCCCCTTAAGCCCCTTGAAGCCTTTATAGCCCTCAACACCCCTAAAGCCTTAAATTCCCCTAAGCCCTTAAACCGTAAAACCCTTCAACCTAAAACCCTAAAACCCTTACACCCTAAACCAGAAAAGCCCCAAAGATCCTGTAAAAAAAGCTTCCTTAACCCTGAAACCCTAAACCCGTACACCCTACCCTTCAAACGGTTTTGACTTCCGGCACTGCTGGGCATCTCAAATCTCTCCAGGGTCTAAGGTTTGGTTTAGGGTTTAGGGTTTGGGGTTTAGGGTAAGGTCCCCAACACCTGAAACTCTAACACGCGCCCCCACCCTCGCCCGTAACCACAAAACCACGATAGCCTTGCTTGAGGTACGTGTAACGCTACTGACTGGGGTGGGCTTGAGAGGGGGCATAATTAACTTCTCTGGATATATAGGGTTGCGGTGTATGGCTTAGGGTCTGTGAACACTCAAAAATGTCCTTGCCTAAACCCAAACTCCGTCGCCTAACTAGCCGTGGATTTAGGGTTTCGGGCTTAGGGTATGGCTTCAAGTCTCAAAAACTATGCAATGAAGCTCTCGGCGCCCCGACCCTTTTGGGACGTGAGCCGACCGACAAAGCCAAAGATGCAGGCGTTCTCGTCTTCCTCCGCGCGGGTAGACGGTTTGGGGTTAGGGGTTCAGGGCTTAGAGTTCAGGGGTTCAGGCTTAGGGCCTAGGGTTTAGGGTTTAGAGTTGCCGTGCATGTCCCTATGCAGGGAGCGAGGGCAGGCTTTCGACGGCTTCGGCTTTCGCGAGCGGGGGGGGTAGGGGAGCCGCTTCTCATGTACACCCTCAACCCTTAACTCCTAAACCCTAAAGCCTAAACCTTAAATCCTAAACCCTAAGCCCTAAACACTGAACCCCACAAAAACCCGCAACCGTACCCTAAGACCTTAAACTTGCGAGAAGCTGAGGCCAAGGGTTGTAAAGTTTCTCGCTGGGGCAACCAGCGGCCTACTCCTTTGCAGCTGCCACATGATAGGGTTCAGGGTTCAGGTTTTTCAGGGTTCTAGGGCTTCTGGGTTTTTAGGGGTTTGGGGTTTTTTGGGGATTTTAGGGCTTTTAGGGTTGTAGGGTTTTTTTAGGGTTTCAGGGTTGCCAGATTTAGTGGTCGTCGTGGTTGCTTTTTGTGAAGGCTTTTCAACATGTCCAGGTCCACTTTAATCAAGCTCACGTATGGTGAAGCACATGGCTGAAAGCGATTGCCCGATGGGCGAGTTCACATCATGCTCCATTTTCCATCATACTCAGGAAGATTTGGCATTTCGCCTATGCCACCCAAGGAAGCCTTGTCAGTGTCCCTAAACCCTAAACCCTAAACCCTAAACCCTAAACCCTAAACATCTCTGGGCGCTTCACAGAGCTCTCGGAGTGATCCTCCAGCTTTTGCTTTTCCGCTTTGATCGTAGCATCTTGATATTCTCCCCTTTTTCGGGATTCTAGTATCCCGTACAATAATCCCTATTCAGGCGCTGTTAGTATCATGCATAGTGGCCCTTGCGCTCTCCCATCCATCCGAACTCCAGCTTGCTGGGCTCTGCGCACTTTTTCTGTCCACGTCTGCATGGCTGCCGTTCGCGGTCTTCAATTTGGCAAACCCTAAACTCCAAAACCCAAAAAGAACTTCAACAAGCCCTGAAAACCCTAAAGAAACAGAACGCGAAACCCAAGAAAAAACCCAAAACCCTGAAGCAAAACCTAAAAAACTCCGAAAACCCTGCAAACCCTAAAACCCCGCAAAACCTAAAACCCTACAAACTCCAAAATCCTACAGCAAAAAACCCAAAATACCTGAAACCCGGCAAAAACCTTAAACCCAAAAAACCTAAAATCCCTAAACAACAACTAAGCCCCTAAAAAAACCTATAAACCCCAAAAACCCCAAAGGAGCCGACAAAAACAAAATCCCTGACCTCTATAGTATGGAAAACCGTGAAGCGCCTGCAGGCCGAGCTTGCGCTGGAGGTGCCTCTTGCACTCCTTCTTGCCAGACCTGGGGTTCTCTCTTCTGAAACGGGTGTTTCGGGTTTAGGGTTTAGGGTTTAGGGTTTAGGGTTTAGGGTTTAGGGTTTAGGGTTTAGGGTTTAGGGTTTAGGGTTTGAGTTTAGGGGTTAGGGGTTTAGGGTTTAGGGTTTCGGGTTTGGGGTTTAGGGTTTAGGGTTTAGGGTTTACTGTGGCCAGCTTTGAAAGCTGCAGCTATGCCCTGTGGAGGGCGATCGGAGGGCCGTCTAGCACTTTATCTCACCCACGCCGTCTCAGGCGGCAAAACCACCCTAACCTATTCTTTTTAGGCTTTGGGCCTAAACTCAAGTCAATTATTTGCCTACTTTCCACCCTTCTTCCGTTACCAATGCGCCCGCCCCGGGGGGGGGGGGGGCCTAAGCCTTGCTTTGGGACGTAGGGGATAAGACTGAACCCTCGAAACCCTAAACCCTAAACCCTAAACCCTAAACCCTAAACCCTAAACCCTAAACCCTAAACCCTAAACCCTAAACCCTAAACCCTAAACCCTAAACCCTAAACCCTAAACCCTAAACCCAAGCCTAAATCCTGCAAATCCCAAAGTCACGTGAGCCAGACCCTG